GCACCACTAGCAGGCTAACTGCTTCCCTGCCTTCTAGGACAAAAAGACTGATCCTGGTCTCGTTCCTTCTCTCTCTCCCATCAAGTTGACCTCTCCTGCACTCCATTCTGATCGATTAGAGGGTGGTAATGTGAACCTCCCCCAACCCCACTAAGAATGCTTGTTCACCCTCATTTGGATGCTTAGAAGCAACAATTTGTAGCATCACCTAGATCTGGGAACCCACAGCACAGGGAACAGCAATAATGGAGTAGGGGATACAGGACTTTCCAGAAGCCCTTTGCTCTAGCCATTCTCATTCCTTACTTGCTTCAGACCCTCGGGGTATTGGCACTGGGCTGGGGGGCAGGGACACAAGGCCTCTCTCATAGAAGAGCCTCACTCAATACATTAGTCAGCTAGAGCTGCCATAACAAAAATACCACAGACTGAGTGGCTTAAACAATAGAAAATTATTTTCTCACAGTTTTGGAGGCTGAAGTCCAAGATCCAGCTGATGGCAGGTTTGGTTTCTCCTGAGGCCTCTCTCCTTGCCTGGATGGTGGCCGCCTTCTGGCTGCATCTTCACATGCTCTTTTCTCTGTGGTACACATCCCTGTGTCCTAACTTCCTCTTCTCACAAGGACACTGGTCAGATTGGATTAGGGCCCATTCTAATGGCCTCATTTTAACTGAGTCACCTCGCTATGGGCCTTATCTCCAAATACAGTCAGATTCTGAGGTACTGGGGATTAGAGCTTCAGTATATGAATGGGGAGGCATATACTGCTTCCCCAGTATATGAATGGGGAGGCTTGTCACCGACAATCAGTGACAAGCTAGCATCTTTAAACTGGGAGAAAGGGAGAGGAAAAAAGGAGAGAAAATGTATCCAACAGGAAGGTGAGCTAAATTCAAAACATATTAGTCACAGTCCATGGACAAGAAACTATATGTGAGTATTTAATTAGTTAGGCACTAAAAGAGGAGAGAACTCTAAAATTGCTGATTGCTAACTCTGGACAAAGTGGGTAAAAAAAAAAAAAAAAGGCTAGGTCACAGGTGACATTAATTTGTGCCCTGGGGGCCTCAAGCCAGAAACAAAAGTACCCCTTTAGCCTCTCTCCTTTGCTGCCACAGTAATGAAATCTGCCATCGGTCAGATGAAATAACAAATATGAAACTTTTTGCTACAGGAAACTCCTAAACAAATGTTCATGGTAATAATTATGGTCTCAGAGAGCACATTTTGATAGGCATCAGTCTTAAATAGTTGCAGATAAGATAAATCACAGGCAATGACAGAACTCTTCGGCACGAGCTTCATCAGTGAAGTGCTTTTTGCTCCATGATAATCTGCTAAAGGCATAATTTATATTATCATCAAATAGCTTAATTAGTCCTCTTGTTAACAATCATACACTATCTCTATAAAACCTGCTTCCTAGGACACCCACAACCCAATGGAAAAACCCTTTGCAACTGAAATCTGACTTTCTTCCCCAGAGCCAAAAAAGGGCACAAATCGTAGAGTAAGAAAGAGAAAGAAAAATAGAAAAAGAGTGGCCAGAATAAGATTAAAGTCCAGCACCTATTGCAGGGTATGCTCGGCCATGAGGGACCAGAGCAAATGGGTAGGAGCCAGCTTTCCAGCTCTCAGAATGAGGCTATCATCGCATGGCTTCATTTTGGCTTGATACATTGTGAGTTCTTCCCACCATAAGCTTGTAGAAAATTGAGCAACACCAGAGACAAATAACCACCATGTACACATTTCAAAAAAGGTGTGTTCAGTCGGCCCAAGCATAATGGATGCTTTGCCCAGAGCTCAGTATTATCTCAACCCTGACCCCTAAACAACTGGAATCCAACTGACTATGAAGCAGGGACCAAAAGGTGTCAGGCAGTTCCAGACTGAAAATTCTGTGATTGTCTCTTTGGGGAATCCTCAGTAAAGCACAGAAGAATTTTAAGGCTGTGTCAAGGTTACAAGCTTTGCTCGTTCATCTAGACAGCCCCATTTGGTGACAACCTACACCAGCTGGGTTTTGATGGTGATTAAGGAGGTCTGGTCCACAGCTAATGTTATACATAGGAAACACAGGAAATGTTTAGAGAATCACTTGCAAATGACTGTTTCCATACTTAACTGGTGAATTTTATTGTGAGAAAGACCCTTATTTAGTAAAAATTGTATGTAATTATAAATTAACCTATATTTGAATAAAGTATGTTGATTAGTTAATGTTGTATCAATATGAATTTCCCAATTTTAATAATGTATCCTGGTTATATAAGGTAATGTTTGGGAACATTGGATGAGGGTATATGAGTATTCTTTGAGTATATTTTTTGTAAATTTTTATATGCTGAAATTACTTCCAAATGAAAAGTTAAAATAATGTTTTTAAAGATTTAAAAAGGAAATTCACAGGACTTAACAATTTACCCACAATTTGTGCCCTGGGGGCCTCAAGCCAGAAACAAAAGTACCCCTTTAGCCTCTCTCCTTTGCTGCCACAGTAATGAAATCTGCCATCGGTCAGATGAAATAACAAATATGAAACTTTTTGCTACAGGAAACTCCTAAACAAATGTTCATGGTAATAATTATGGTCTCAGGTGGAGATGCTTTTCTATAAATAAAAGGAGGAATAGGCCATTGTCCTAAATACCATTTAGGGTACCAGGCTACCAGTGTTCTCCAGGTGGCTTCCAAAATGCTTAGAAATTGTTGTCCTAGTAGAAGGAAACAGGGCATCACTGACAATTTTGAGAAAAACAGGCCTTTAACAACAGCAATACTACAGAAAGATTCATCAGGCCTCTAATCCATAGGGCAAAAAAAGTGAAAGGGACCAGACTCAACAAACTTCACTATGAGTTATTCCAATAACTGAGAAGGGAACAACCCCACTGACTGGACCTTGAAAGGAAGAAGGCCAGAGGAGAGGTATGCTGAAGAACTCATGGGTCGGGGCAGAACTAGCCTGGAGGTGGGGGCGGAAAGAGAGAAATGAGTCAGTGGTTACTTGAAGATGTCTCACCGAAACTGGGGCAATGTGGTGATGTCACTGAGAGACAGCTGGGAAATGGAAGGAAGATGACCCCATGCACAGAGCTTGGCCAGAGAACTCATGTGGCTCCAGAGGCCAGGCAGGTGCAAAGGGGGTTAGACAGGCCACAGGGGCTGTGAGACTGGAAGACATCTCTTTAAAGAGGTTGCCTCCAAGGGGGCTGACACAACTTCCCAGCAGAGTCCTTGACATGTGGGAATGCACTTCCAGTGTTACCAGATCTCCCATTTTTGCAAGAGAAGCCAGAAGCCCAGCTCTCTTATGTGAAAGCTCTTAACTCTTTAATGTTGGCAATTAATTTTTAAAAAATTTTAAAGCATGGTGTGTGCCAAACCAAACGCATCTGTAGGCCAGATTCTACGGGCAGGCTATCAATTGTGACCTCTGACAAAGAGATGAGGTTAAGGGTGAAAATTCACAAACTGTCTTGATGATACATAGTGGGATAAGTGACTGTAGAGGTACTCAGTAACTAAAATACTGTACATAAAGCTTTTGCCAGCAATCCGAGCTGTATGAATGTCTCTACCCTTCAAGTCTATATATGGATTTGAGTTTATACAGGAAGTTTAACCTAAACCTCGAATGGTTAAATCACAAGAATTGGAGTGCTTACTATGTGCTGAGTATACAGAAGTCAAAAAATTTCAAACCCAACTGGGGAAGAAAAGCCATGCCCTCCTGAAAACGACACAAATTACGAAGGACTCTGGGAGACTGCTTTCTACACATTATGCTAGATTAGAATATCAAAGTCAACCTAACTCCTGGATTCTTCCCCCCTACCCCATCACTTCCATTTAGCAAACTTCAATAATGCGTATGTGTGTGAACGTGTGTGCTGGAATCTGAGACTAGACCCTTCCCTCACGTGGGAGGAGCGCTGGCTGAGTTGGGGGTACCCGGGCGCGGAGAGAAGGATGAGAGTGGCCGGTGGAAACCGCGCCCTGTCAAGTTTCTCTGCTGGAATCCCTGCCTTTGTTTCTGTCATTACTCTCTAAGGGTTTGTGTGGGAGAGGACAGGCACCGAAATAGAAAGTGTCCAAGAGACGGTGACAAGGAGGATGACAACAAGGCAGGACTTTTTTCGGTCCCACCTAGCCCCCGCCACCCAGAACGCCTGCGCGCCGCCTCCTGCCTCTTCAAAGCGCAGTCGGTGGCGCAGGAAGCCTGCGGCTCGGGCGGCGGGTCCTCCTCGGAGAGCCGCGATTTCCTCCGAACTCCAAGCTGCCCAGCCATCTCCAGAGTCGCCGAGCAACTCCGCGCGGAGCGCGTTCTCTCCCCCACCCCGCACTCCTCAACCCACCCACCTACTTCCTCCGCTCCGCGCTCTCACAGGCACAGAGCTGCCAAAAATTTCCACCCTCCGCCCCCCTCCCTCGCTAACTTCCTTCCAGCATTTCCTGAGCTGGATGATCCTAGGATTTGTAAGACAGGAAAAAAAGGAAGGCGTGAGGGCGGGTGAGAGAGACAGGATGCTTGCTTTTCGTTTTACCGAAGCCGTCTGAGGGCAAGACAGCGGGCGCCGGGAAGAGGACCCTCGCAGCCCCGCACTGTCTCCTCGCCCCGCGCGGCCGCCGCGTTCCCCGCGCTCGCCCGGGACGTCCAGAAAGGCGGAAAGCCAAGCTCGCCCTTCCTCCCCGGCGGAGGAAAACAGCCCGAGACACTTCAGGAGCCTGTGAAAGTCCCTGGGACTCCGAGTGAGGAAGTGACACTCCCTAGCGAGCCGGCCCGCAGCTGCCAGCTCTGCACGGCCTCCGGCACCGCGGCCCTGGAGGAGCGCGCGGTGCATTTCAGGCTCCGCGCCGCCCCGCGGGGTCCATGCGCACTGCCCCGGGCCCAACTTCTTCTGGACGCCCATGCGGCCCCCTCGAGCCGCACTGCAGCCGGTGATCTAACCCCGGAGACAATCTTCGGCGCGGTGCCAAGCAGAGGGGAGGGGGACACGGAGGGGCAGCCTCTTTGGGACTAACTCATGAAGAACAAGGGTGCCAAGCAGAAGCTGAAACGAAAGGGAGCCACCAGCGCCTTTGGCTGTGACCTGACCGAGTATCTGGAAAGCTCAGGACAAGATGGTAATGTGCTTTCCCGTTTCTATCCCGTTCTTTTTGTTTGAGGGAGAGATGGACTCTCCTGGGGTGCGTTAGAGTCAACTAACAAGTTAATGTATTCCAGGTCTGTGTGCTCATTTTACTTTTTTTTTTAAAGAGCAATATGATTCTTAAGGTGCAAAGCGCTGCCACCCCGACGTGCAGAGGTAGTGTCAGTCCTTCCGTTTGTCTCACAGAAGCCGTTAATGGGCGGTGCTGCTCCCGTTTAACTGGCTATTTCTGGGGGTGGGGGTGGGAGCTGGAGAGGTCTTGATCGAGAACTTTGGATATCAGAGAGGAGGGATGAGGGCTCCATCTGTGGGGTGGTTATCAGTGGGCCTCGCTGCATTCACAGTTATGACCACCTTGGGTGTCCCTCCCAGGCTCTCCAATTTCATCGCTCACATCTTTTTTTATTAATGTGCTGGAAGGCGGGGCGGGGGGGGAGGGGATGCGGTGGATCCTGGCCGGGGGAGTGGTTGCACAAACATTTTCTGAATTTCTGAACTGATGCCAAATATATAGTACCTCCCTCCGTCCTCTTCCCAGCCCCCCAGACCCTCTACCTCCTCCTGGCTTTCACATCAGCATTCGGTGTGTCAGACAAGAAGAGTGTTGTGAAAAGGTCAGAGGGCCTTAATTTTAAAATAGTTTAGTTAAGGTATTTAAAAGAAAGGGAGAGGGTCTCTGTCTCCAAGGTCAGATTGGAAAAAAAAAAAATAGAGGGAGTCCTGCAGAGTAAAGACAATTCAAACGTTTGTTGGGGGAGGGGAAAGAAAATAATGTAAACTACAATAAAAGCATTTGAGGTTAGAAGTGTTTAATCATAGGAAAGTTGGGGAAATTGAGCATTAAATGAGTCCTTTTGTAAGGTTGACTGGCCCTGAATTTAACCGTGACAAAAAGGCCTTGTCTTCAGAAACTTCAGTGAGAGAGAAAGTCGTCCACTATGTGGGTTGTGTGTTTCTTATACATAGGTACAACAAAAGGGGTAACTGTAGGGCTGCTTAACTGTGCAGAATAATTCTGCCTCCAGGAAAGTAATCTCAAAAATGATGTGATTAGCTCATATCAGATGTGCACCTCGAAAACAGTGCAAGGCTTTTGTTTCAGTTCCGTTTTTTTTAGAGATTGAGCACCACCTAGTAATTTGCAGTGGTGTGATATTCCTGCGGTGTTCTAGAGTTTAGAGCCTGCTGTGTCATTAGGACAAATGGCTTAGTATTTTAGAGCTTGGGGGACCATAGGTTTCAAAACTGCCTCTTTTGAAAGTGAGGCATAACTGAGTCAATTCATTTCCTCCTCTCCCACAATCTGGAGAGGAACATTTGAAATCAAACAGCTCGGACTGAGGGGTTTTTTTTTTCTTTTTTTGAAGGTTCCAGAGCACAAGTATACATTTTAACACTACCCTCAGGAATTCAGAATGAATGTTCCCTCCACCTGTTTTTGCAGGGGCCTTGAGGTTACCATCCAGGTACACTATCAGTGCTCCTGAGATGCCCCCTTCAACGCTGTGGGTGTTATGCTGGGCCCTCCCTCCAAAGCTGTGGCAGTTGCAAGGGGGTATTGGCAGCCCTGCCCCCATTCTCACAATGTCATAGATCACAGGATGAGCCAGGAACCCAGGGTTCTGTGGAGACACCTCAAAGACAGCCTTAGGCAGCTTTTCTTTCACTTGCTTTATACTTTGGGGTTTCATATATGTTTCATTTGGGAAAAAAAGAATGGGGTTACTGCTTAAAGAAAAAAATTGAAAACCAGTTCCCGGTGTTCCCTGCCCTGGGGAGGAGGGGAGGAAGCCCAGAGAGGTAAACTGACCTGCCTAAGGTCACACAGTTAATCGTGAAGGTTGCAGAAGGCCCTGGTCTATCAGGCTCCTTTCCTCTCCCTGGCTTCTGTGTCTAGGCCAACATTCTCCTCTAATGATTTTCCCCCTAAATTGAAAGCAGACAGCCCTGCCATGGGATCAGCAAACTTTTAAGACTGACTGACATACCTGAATAGAGTTCAGCTTTGAAATGAAAGGAAACTGACCTACTTAAAGATCCATGCGCCATCACCGTGCCATGTGGGAATTAAGCACACACAGTAAAGTGCTTATATAAATGAAACTAATTAGGATTTCTTCATTCCCATATCTAAATCTAGTAAGGTAGTTGTCTCTTTTTGTTACAGTGCAGCATCAAAGTCAGTGCTAATAATATTTTCTCTAAAACAATGTATCCTTCTTATGGGTTTTCTGAAACATGTATTGGTTAATAGACAAGTAAGTCCAAGGCCTGGATTCTGCTTCTAGGGAGGAAAAGCTGACTTGGGCCCTGCCACTTCGCTCACCACCTTGAAAGTTCAGCCCAGAATCCTGAGGGCAACAAGTCATCATGGTAACTAGGAGCCAGAAGGCTGGGGAAGACCTCTGAATACTGACGTCATGGTTTTTTAACCTTGTAGGGCAAGGGCACTATCATGGATGTGGGTAGAGACAGAGAAAAACGGGTTTGGGTCTGGGAGAACAAGGCAGAAAGGAAGGACAGAAGTGCAAAGGAACCCAGGGAGGCCCTGCGCTTGGACAGGGAAGGAAAGGCCCAAGTTGCGGTGGAGGACAAAGCTGGTGACAATTAGCTGCGCGCAGGTAACCCTGAGGCTGAGCATGGGGGATGAATGCCATCACTCCTGGGATTCGCTGTGGCCCAGACCTGCTACCTTCAGTTGGACAGGTCTGACAGGGCAGGGTGTGTGGGTGACAAATAGGTGTTCAGCTTAGAGCGGATGTTGCTCAGGGCCAGCTGTCATCCTTAATCTTTAGGAAGCTGATGAAAAACAGAACCCCTTTTCCTTAGGAAAACACACACACTCAAATTGTGTATACAGTTTTTGTGGGCATTCACATAGATGCCAAGTTCAGACCCTGCTGTTGATCATCCCTAGCTGCACACAGGCCTGATGGGAATGACAGTATTCCCCTTTTGCTTATTTAACCACTTTTCTCCCGCCTGGTGAGAACACCCAAGAATGGCAAGAAGTTGCTTCTGGCCAACTTGGCAGGAGCCTCTTTTATTTCCCCTCCAGCAGGGTGGCTGCTGCCCCAACCCCCAGCTCTCCCCTAGGAACCAGATAACTTTCTTTTCCTGCCTGGAATAGAGGGGAAAAGATCGTCCCTTCCTCACTGTTGATGCTGAAAATAGTTTTCTTTTCCTTATTTTTGACGGTATACGAAGGCCCATGCTTGCAGCTATGTACTGAAAACTACATCATTTTGTCGCCTGTAGTTGGGAGGCTGTGGGTGAAGGCCAGATTTCACTCAGGCATTTCTTACCTCTTGCCTCTGACCCAGTTGCGCTGGGTCTTCCCACAGGGCTGGGAGAGATCAAGGGACTGGTGAGAGAGCATTGTCAGTAAAGCTCTTCTGCCTTCCTGCTGGCCCCACTCTAAGGACTGAAGACTCTCTCACCCTTGCAAACAATCTTTGTCATTTTACTAACACCCTGGTAAAAAGTGATGTTGCTCTGGCCCAGTGGTTCATCATGATGGCAGCACATTAGAAGAATGACACGGGGAACCTAAAAAACTGTTGATGCCCAGGTCTCCCTGCTCAGACCAATTAAATCAGAGTCTCTTGGTGCCCATTCACTGGTTCAATTCCCAGTCAGGGCACATGCCTGGGTTGCGGGCCAGGTCCCCAGTAGGGGGTGCTCGAGAGGCAACATCTGATTGATATCTCTTCTCTTTCTCCCTCTCTTCCCTTCTCTAAAAATAAATAAATAAAATCTTTAAAAAATAAAAACTAGATAATCTAAAATGTGGGCAGAGTTAACAACCCCTGCTCGCAGTGCAGAGGTTTGTAGAACATTTCTCCTCAGATAAGTAGCCTAGACCATTCAAAATGTACCCTCTGAACATTTGATAAGAACTGTGAGCTCCCATTTTTTAAAAGATTTTATTTATTTTTTTTTAGAGAAAGGGGAGGGAGAGAAACATCCATGTTCAAGAGAAACATTGATCAGTGGCCTCTCACACACCCCTAACCGGGGACCTGACCTGCAACCCAGGCATGTTCCCTGACTAGGAATCAAACCAGTGGCCCCTCAGTTCTCAGGCCAGCGCTCAACCCACTGAGCCACACCAAACAGGGGAGAACTGTGAGCCTTTATATTCCTGAAGATTTTTTCATAGTTGTTATCAGATTGAAAAAGGAAAAAAAAAAAGAAAAATAACATTTGATTTGCAGGATGACAGAAAGTTCATAGCAAATACATAAATGCCCATTATAAATATAATTTTAAATTTGATGAAAGTAAGATAGCCCCATAAGTTCAGAAAACAAGGTTAAGACAATGGGCACTTTTAAATGTAGCTGTTCTACATTTCTGAGGCTAAATCATTCTTTCATTTTGTTTATTCACTTATTTCACTGATATGTATTAAGGCACTGTGCTAGGTATTTTGGGAAAGAAAGAAACACGTACCCCCGAGATTCAAGAAATTTACAGTCTAAGGGATGGGAACAAACTTTCAGAAACTAATTAAGCTCTGAAATTGGCTGTCATGACTGGGAAAGGAGAAAAACGTGAAAGCTTTTATTGACAATTAAATAGAGGAGAGACCCAAATATAAACAGGAGCAACATCTTAGCAAAGAAAGTAAATATTTTTCTGTTCAAGATAAGATTTAACAAATGGAGAACCAGGGCTGGGCATTCTCTTTGGCTTAGTTGTTTCCTTCCCAGATCTCGCCTGGTGTTTCATTATCACACCTTCCCTGGCTAAGTCTTCATCCTTTGAGTCTCAGCTGCTTTTGGAAACCTTCCCTGATCCTTCCAACCCCGGTGCCCCCGACCGAGGACTTCTGTTAGAAGTTCCAGAACTTTACTGCCTGGGTTAGTATCCCAACTTTGCCTGCCTCCAGCTGAGTGACCTCGGAGCGAGTTAGTGACTCCCTCTGGGCCTCAGTTTCCACATTTGTGAAATGGGGATAGGAGGACTGAT